GAGGTGAAAGCCGAAGCTGGAATGGCCGGCCGACAACCTGCCGCTGACAGCTTGGTGGAGCCAGAGAGAGTTACAGTGCCTTCAAGGACCTTGAAACCAATTTGGTATACAGTATAGTTATTGGTTGTTTTTGTTGTTATTTATAAACGTTATTTATAAAGTTTTGTAATAAACGGCTGCTGTGGCCATTTAAACTCCACCCTTTCTGCAGTGTATTAAATGGGTGGGTGGGGGGTGTGGTTTTATGGTATCGGATTAACCAAGGTACCTCTGAGCTACCTTAGTCATGTAAACAGATGACAGCTGAGAATGTCAAATGGGCGGAGTGAGCCGTGACTGTCAGAACTATTGGGCAGAAAGGAATCAATTTCATAGGCCTATCCATGTTATTTTACAGATTTGTAAATGGGCATTGTGGTATCCATTTTGTGCTAAAAGGTGAATACAAATTCATTCTTCTTGGACAGAGACTTTCACAAAGAAGTTAGGAATGTTCGTATAAACATTCTTCAGATCGTAAATTGTGGGGGTCTCAGACTCAGATCAGTTAAGGATGGTGCCAGCCTATGTAGGTCTTGATTGATGACTTTCTTGTACAATAGACAGAGACTGGAATGTTTTAAAGGTTTTTTCTCTCTCTCTCTCAATGAATAGAAGATGGGGTTTATCTTAAGTTGTTTATGAAACCTTACCAGTCATTGCCGTAATTATAATTAGCAATAATGTTAGTATATTATTATATTATATGCAGCATCTGTATGCTTATGTTATTGACAAATTTCAAGTAAAATTTGATACATGTACTTTTATAATATACAAACTATATTCATTATATATTGTTTGAGTGTGCCCATTGAAATATATTAGTGTGTATTATTAATATGGGGTTTTTATATTTTAAGTACAAAGAATTAGGTAGTACATGCTTATGCATTTTCTTTTCTTTTAATGTGTCTTGAAAAGAATTAACTCAATTTTAAGGAATTTGAGAAAGAACGTTAATTTGCCTTAGGTTAGATACTCTCAGACACCGGATATTAAGATATCGGGTGTCTGAAAAAGGTTAACCCTTTCATTAATGAATGCCTCTGTAGTAAGGGCATCCATTAATGAATGTTAAAAGCTGATTCTCAGCGTTAACAGCCCTCTAAAGCAGCAAATAACGTGTCACGTACAGTGTACGTGACAAGTCATTTGGTCCCTTTGTGGCTGGACGTACAGTGTACGTCTCCCGTCACAAAGGGGTTAAGGTTGAAAATCGAAGAAGTAGACTAAAAGTCGGACAAGAGGTTGTCATGAGATGTTATTCATGACTTTCTTTATGGGTTGTCCATAGCTTAGGTCAGAAGTTATCTTTCTGCCTTATCTTTAGAAAATAGTGGAATTAACCCTTTCGCTGCCAAGCCCTCCGGAACATTTTTCAAATCAGCTGGCCAAGCCATTTTTGCAATTTTTTCCTATTGATTTGATTTTCAACTGCTGGGTTGGTAGCGTTTGTAAAAGACCCCCCAAACCATTAATTTTCTGAAAGCGCAGGCCCGGTAGAATAAATAGATGTTGATACTAAATTTGTAGGCCCTGCGATAATTGCGCAAATGTTTCTCAAATTAATATTAAACCGATAAAAATACACAATTCAATTGTTAAAAACACAACAAAATCAGTATCCGTGCACAATTTTTTTTATTTTCTGACTAAATCTAAAAGATAAAACTGTATTGAGTTAATAAATAACAAATATTAGCAAATTTGTAATTGCGCCTTTTTGCGAAAAGGTAAACAAATTAAGGTACAGTATGCAAAACTGTAAATAATCAACTTATGTAAAAAATTGTTTTGGTGTTTGTGTTGTGATAAAATTATACAGGTGTATATTTAATTGCAACACAAGGTATCACAATGCACGGCAATGAGTCACAAAGCTTTGCCATGCGCTGCCACAGTTAATTGAATGTCTTTTTTAAAAGAAAAAAAGAAAAGAAAAAAGATCATGCACTGCGATGCGTTCTAACAACGCACTGCAGCACATGTGCATGGTGTGCACCAGAATATGTGTGTGTTATGTGGGGGGAGGGGTTGTGCTTTTTTTATTAGTTTTTTTTTTTACACATTTTTAAAAAAATATACCTAGTAACCAGGGGACGCTGGACTGCCATTACACACTGAGAACCTGGCGGAGCCGTACCTAGCAACCAGGGGACACTGGACTGTCATTACACACTGAGAACCCGGCAATGCTGCCATGATATCACGGCGGCTCCACCTGGTTCTCAGTGTGTAATGACAGTTCAGCAACTCCTGGTTACCTAGGAACCAGGAGACGCTGGACTGTCATAAGAGCTTGTCGGAGCCGGCTTTGATATGACCGCCAGCTCCGACAAGCTCTCATTGTAATGACAGCTGGTCCCGTCCAATAGAAAACAGTTGGGCGGAGCTAGCTGTCACTGCTAGCTTCGCCCAATCATTTTTTTTGTAGACATTTTTTTATTATTTTTTTACATTTAAATTTTTTTTTTTTTTACATTTTCTATTTATTTTTTAATAATTTTAAAAGGGTTAAATGAAATGCTCCCAACTTTTATATAAAACAATAGTGCCCACTGGTGGTAATTGTGAGGGAAAGGTATATGGCAAAAATGATATATCTGACGTCATGGTTCACGTCAATAATCACATGGAAGACCAAACCAAGCCCAAATTCGAGGGGAGATAAAAGGAGAGTAGCCAGAAAAAAAAGGAAACCAAGATCGAGAAGCCAAATGCCAATGAAGACAAGGCAGTAAGCAAAGGGTATAGGTCGGAAGCTGAGGACGGCTGTCCAAAGGGAACTGAACTAAAGAGAGCCTCACCATCCCTTATTTCTGAATTGTAATCGCTGACTTCTTCCAGACAAATAATTTTAAATTGCTGGTTAAGTATACTTTCTATCTTTATATTAGGCAATTCCTTAGCCACATATATATATTCGGGTAAACCATTGAGTTCTTGTAGGATCTAGATTGATTTGAGTTAATTTTTAACTGCAGTAAAAATTGTGTCTTTCAATTTTGGGAGATAAATATATATATATATATTGTATACTTTTGTATTCCTCTCGTCTTCAAAGTCAGCGCAAATGAAAGAACTTACGTTGGGAATCTCCTTAATTATAGATACTTATTTGTTTCCATAAACAGAAGACTGTATATCAGAGCAGTATAAACATTCTGACATATTATCACGGCTCGCTCTACCCATTTGACATTCTCAGCTGTCAAATACTACATAGCATTCGTGAACTCCTGAATGCTATTCGTGAACTCCTGAATGCCATTCATGTGAGCCGAGGTGTCATAATACTTTTCATATGACATGACAGTATTTGACAGCTGAGAATGTCAAATGAGCGGAGCGAGCGAGCTCTGCCCATCTGTTTACATTCAGGCAGGAATGTAATTTTGCGACGAGATACAGGCTATGGGGCAGACTCAGACCAGTAGAGGCAGACTCAGAATAGTTCTTCTTCAAAGATTGTGCTTGGGATGAAGAAGCTTGACTTGGATATTAGTCACAGGATCACTTGCTGGGTTCATTCCTAAAGGGACAAGCTGAGCTGGAACACTAGAGACTGGAAGACTAGAGACTGGAACAGGAGCAGGCTGGACTGGAACACAAGAAACTGGAAAAGGAGCAGGCCGGACTGGAACACTAGAGACTGGAACAGGAGCAGGCGGGACTGGAACACTAGAGACTGGAACAGGAGCAGGCGGGACTGGAAAACTAGAGACTGGAACAGGAGCAGGCTGGGCTGGAAAACTAGAGACTGGAACAGGAGCAGGCTGGACTGGAACAGGAGCAGGCTGGATTGGAACAGGAGCAATTGCCATGGGCAACAGGCACAAAGCACTCACATTGGAGTCTAGTTGAGTGGTGGATTTAACAGTCTGGGATGTGGTCTTAGAGGTGGATGAACTGTGCTTCAGAGCTTGAAAAGCAGCAGCAAGGCCCGAAAAGAAGTGAGGTGGTGTTCGCAAGCCACCCTTAACACAGACTAGGAATTCAATAAACTTGACAGGATCTTCAGACAGATAACTGTTACAACCCAAAAAATCTTCAGCCCACTCAAAGAATTCCCCTTCAAGAAGATAATATGCAATCTGACCTGACCAGGTTGCCAAAGGGTGACACAGACATATATATGAATGTTTATTAGTACAAAATAGTTGAAAACACCATCAAAATGCTTCTTCTCATATTCCCATTAAAATGACAACGTTGTCTGTAGCTATCTTTCCCTCTCGCATTCAAACAGATGGGCCCCACACATACAATAATCAACTGTTTTAGACCAGGGACTTCAAATGAGATAAAGAATACACAAAGGTGGCACAGTTTATGAAACTGAAGTGAAAAAAGAGAAAAACAAGTCCTCTCGTGAGGAAATCCTCTTGTTGCTGTGAGAATGGATACAATGTCTCATATGTTTCAGAAAAATATTGCCACACGATCCTTAGCAATTAGCCACTCTTATCCATAATGTGGAAACAAACTTTCAAATAACCTGATCAGGTCTTTTTCTTTATTCCGAACAATTTAAGTAGCAAGAGGGTTTATCGAGGAAGCGAGATCCACATATATATATATATACGCATCACTTGTGTTAAGGGAGCGTGTGAGAAACCACAGATCCGGAAAACAAATGGCAAACACCGCAAAAAAGTTCCATTCAATAATGCCGGGTATTCAGGGGGAAACACCTCCAATAGAATTTAAGTGAGTGTTGCCATGTGGTATGGGGTAAACGTTACTCACAGTTTAGGTGTCTCAACCGCAGTAGGTCGGCTGATCTCCGAGTCTCAAGTCCTGTAGCTTATTGCGATCACGGTTGTCACAGTTGTCTCAAATGATCCAGTAGGGTTCCTTAGTCTGTGCACTCATCCCTTTTCCTTATGATCATTAGAGTAGAGTGTCCAGAGTCAGGTTGCCATGTGTGCGGTCATCCAGCTTACGATTCAGGCAAACCGTGTTGACAGATTTCGCCCCGCACTCCGGGGCTTCGTCAGAACATGAAGGATGGATGGTGAGTGGTCATCTTAAATAGCCGTTTCACACCTGAAACGCTTCAATTCACATCATATCCCAATGCTTAATGTCAGAAGTGATTGATAGCTAATCATTCAAAGCACACACTCTCTCTTTCCAAAGAGAAGCAAAGAGAGAGAAGACAACGTATATATAAAAAATATATAAAGAACATATGTATAAAAACCTGTCACTAAGTGAAGGGTAAGGAAAGAGATTTAGTATATAGATGCATTTGGGTACATTAACCCCTGCTCAAGATAGTATAACTTTCTTCTGGGGGTTAGAGGAATACATTCAGGTTAAATTCGCTATTGAAACCAGAGGGTAACATTGGATTTTGTCTGTATATCCAAATTTTTTCTTTTTGTAACAAAATCTTGTCAAAGTCTCCTCTTCGTGGTGATAGATTTAGGGCATAAATGCCCTTTACCTTCAAACCTTCCAGTGACGAATTGTGGCATTCAGCAAAATGTAGAGCTGCAGCTAACGATTATTTTCAAAATCGATTAGTTAGCCGATTATTATGTTCGATTAATCGGTTAAACAATAAAATAAATTTTTAAAAATGGCTCCAGTGATGGACTACTAGTTTGTTTTGAGATTGTAGTCCATCACAGGAGCCAGCTTTGGAGCGGTGGAAATAAAAAAAAAAAGTGTGGTGTGCAATATAGTGAAATGGAAAGTTTAAAATTATACAGCAATCAATGCAGAATGGCACCGGCTATAGAGGACTACAAATCCCAGGAATAGTTCATTATACAGCGCAATGCAGAATATCACCAGCTATAGAGGAGCACAACAAATCCCAGCAATAGTACATTATAGCTGGCGGTATTCTGCATTGCGCTGTATAATGTACTGTTGCTGGGTTTTGTAGTCCTCTATAGCTAGTGGTATTCCGCATTGCACCGCTGTATAATGTACTATTGCTGGGTGTTGTTGTACTCCTCTATAGCTGGTGGAATTCCGCATGGCGCTGTATAATGTATTATTGCTGGGATTTGTAGTCCTCTATACAGCGCAGTGCAGAATATCACCAACTATAGAGGAGTACAACAAATCCCAGCAATACATTATTCATACAGTGTATAATGTATTGCTGGGATTTGTATTCCTCTGTATAATATACAGCACAATGTACCATCAGCTATAGAGGAATGCAAATCCCAGCAATACATTATAGAGCACCATGTGTGGGAAATTACAGGCTTACCTGAGCAGTCTTCTAGCAACTTGCTTCTGAGATCGGGCCTGTCTATCGGCGGCTGTCATCCCCCCACACCTCCTCCTCCTTACTACATCTCCCCGCGTCCCTGTGCCGATTGTGGATGTGGGCGGGTGGTGAGTGTGAGGTGGGAAGGAGGTGCGGCGTGTAGAGCGTGGATGCGGGCGGGCAGGTCTGGCAGCGGTGAGCGTGAGTTGGGGAGGAGGTGCGGCGCGCAGCGTGTGTGGAGCCGTGAACAGGGCCAACTGATCGGAAGCCGATTAATCGATTATTGAAAAAGTTGACAACTTTTTCAATAATCGATTATAATCGATTATGTCGATTAGTTGTTGCAGCCCTAGCAAAATGTACTGCAATTGGGCTATCAACATCCTTTTTAAAAAAAAAAGTCTTATAGATGTTCGCCTATGCGAATTCGCAATTGGCGTTTTGTTTTCCCTATATAAGATTTTTTGCATGGGCACTCCAACTGATAGATGACCCTGCTGGAGCCACAATTAATAAACTGAATGATATCAAAGGATCTAGTGCCCTCTGTATTCTGAAAAGATTTTGTTCTTTCTACATATGGACTTGACACTTCCCACAGGGGTAACATTCCTCTAGTTTTTGGATGGGTTGATAAGAAAGATATATTTCTGTTAGGTCTATATTCCCAGTTGATCAATTGGTCTTTTCATTTTTTTGCTCGCCATGCTGTTATGAGAGGTCGAGGGCCAACTATATTAGCAAGTGTAGGGCAAAGTTTTAATACATGCCAGTGTTTGTCTAGGATCTGCCTTATTTTTTCCCATTTGGTAACATATTGTGTAATCAATTCTAACGTAGTTCTCCTTTTCTTTTTCCCCAATCTTTTTCCCTTTCAGAATTTCCACTCTAGTTCTCTTCCCCATTTTAGCTTTACTAGTTTTGAGTGTCCTGTGGGAATACCCTCTTTCTCTAAAGCGATTGTATAAAGTCTTTGATTCTACTATATAATCTTTCTGTTTTGTACAGTTACGCTTGGGAATTGTCCCATGGGGATCCCTTGTTTAATGGGTAAAGGGTGATGGCTGGTAGCATGTAGTAGTGTATTAGCTGCAGTTTATTTTCTAAAGGTCTTAGTTATTAATCTCTCTGCCTCAATTTTTATTGCTAGATCTAGAAAATAAATGTCTGAGTTACTGCTAGTTAATGTTAGTTTTAGATTCCGTTCATTGATATTAAGCTCAGAAATAAAATTCCTAAGCTATTTTTCGCTCCCCTGCCACACCATTAAGACATCATCATGCCCCCATCGAGGTCCCCCTAATCTGTCTATAGTATGATCCAGAAATTATTTGAGAGAGCAAATTCCAAAAGATCCACCAGAAATTCGCCATCTCAGGGTAGTTTTTTTCCAGGAAGTCTGAAACAGTTGCTTATTGTATGTGTGGGGCCCATCTGTTTGAATGTAAGAGTAAAAGATAGCTACAGACAACTTTGTCATTTTAATGGGAATATGGGAAGTAGCATTTTGATGGTGTTTTCAACTATTTTGTACTAATAAATATTCATATATATATATACACATGCTGGTCCCGGTCTTTTTGTTACCACTTTTATCAGTGAGCTTGTGCCTTCAGCCTCGCTGGCTTTTTCGGTCTTCACCCACCCTGAAGGGTCGGGTGACGAGTATTGCTCTCCCCCACTGAGTATGCTGCAATGTCTCAGAGTGGCTGGGATAACTGCACATGTTACTTATTATGCTCCAAATACAAGACAAACCCATTTTTTCTATTATCTCTTGGGGGTGGTTGAAAAACATAGAATCTGCACTCTGCTGGTAATGGCGACTCCAATGTGGTTTTAAATGAAAAAATTGGATAGGTACAACTCTAACTCTGGTTCCACAACTATATCTCCTGGGGGCGATAACACTGCCCTTATGGACACTAGTGATGGGCTCAATGTTCGAGTCGAATAACAGTTCGACTCGAACATCGGTAGTTCGCGTGTTCGGTGAACACACAAACTATCAGGGCGTTACTTATTATGCTGTGGTACATATACTATTATACTTATATTATTCTGTGGTACATGATCTTCGATCGGTTTCCTGTGTCCTTTAAAGAACAGAAGAGAAAAAGATTTTTTCTTACTCATGTATTATTTAGCAGGAACAAATGTCTGGGAATTCAAAAGTGGAGGAGATCTCACTGCTGTAGTCCTGAAGAAAGATATCTTTTTTTAACAAAAATGATCTAACAAATATCATTCGGGGTTGGTGACTCTTTAAAGCAAATCGAATTTCAAGCACACACGTGTAGTTTACCAGCCCTTGTGGTGAATGGTGGCTGTCATGGTCACCGTATTAGTTTTGTTTTCCCTTTATTTACATTTGGTGATCCTGCCAGCAACATATTTCCTGTACTAGGGTGACATTGCTTACTATAATGTATCTATGGAGGAGAAGTGTTATCCACCTAAGACAGAAAGTGTGTTCATACAACGGAAAACCTCCCTCTCCTCATCTCCATAACATAGGGGGAAGAGTTAATGGGCAGGATTTTTAGCGCCGCTTGAGATATAACTAAAGAATACACAGTACAAGAAGTTAGCACTGGATTTCTGGCAGGACCATAAGTTTTTTTTTCTTTTGCATTCATCAAACATACATAACTAAACCCTTTCACAGTATAGTTAACAAATCAAAAGTGAACAAATAAAAGAAGTTCATTGTTATGGTTTCCATACACTAACACTTTTTTGGTTTGCATACACTTTAACTTTTAAGCGGTTTGACCAATTTAAGAACTATAAAGGAAAATCAGTTCACAAGTTCAAGCTGTAATCAATATTGAATCAGGGTTGGTTAAAGAGAAGCACTAATACCTGCATATACATTTCTATACAGGAAGAATTGTGAGAGTATTCCAGCTAATCAATACAAAGGTCAAAAAACTGACCCAAAACATGAAGATTCTTACCATTCTTATGAGAACATTAATTAAATGGGCCAGCATCCTCTTCTCATCCTCAAGTGTCAGAGCACTGTAAAAACAACAATAAATCAAACCCTGTCAAATAAGATTCAATATGATGGTTTGTTTTACTGCTATATAAAAGTATTTATTACAGATATAAGCCTGATATTGTGTGCAGTATGACTCCCCCCATTTTCATGAATTATTCTGCTTATATCCACAACTCATTTTGTTTCTGTCATATTTACTTACTAATGCACTTGCTATTGTTACTTGTTTAAAAAAAACAAAAAAACATTTGTGATCACACATGATACAAATTTTAGAAAAACAATAATTCCCTCTTAATAAAAAAAACAAAATAACTTTTTCCTGCAAAGACCAAGCTACTAAGAGCCAACTGACAGCTTAAAGTGAACTTTTCATGATGTGAGAGTTGCTACTGCCATACTAGATTTTAAAGGAGCAAGCTATGGGTTTGTCTTCTGTATCCTTGGTTCACCATTTATGAATCATTGTCTGGCTAGGAGCATAAAAGTTTTCTAGAGTTAACTTCACTGACTGCAAGCTTGCTCCAGGTCACTGGCTCAATAAGAGCCCATTCACAACACAAAGCTGTGCAGTGCAAAGCACACATTGTCCTTACTTGCACGTGATGCTTTAAAATGCATAAGAAAATGGGGCAGGGTGCATTTTCTCCTGCATTTCTACATCCTTTTTGGCCTGATGTGCATTAGGCAGCCCACTGAAATAACTGGACTGCCCTAATGCATAGCACTTTAACCACTTGCTGTCCGAAGCAATTTCTTACTATTTGCACACACATGATAAAATATACATTTTTGGCTAGAAAACAGGTTCAAACCCCCAAACAATGATATATTTTCTCAAAGAGGCCCTGTAGAAAAAAAAATCCTAGTTGCAATTTTTTATGTCACACGGTATTTGCACAAATGTTTATCCAGTATTTCTAGGACAAAATAAACTAAATTAAAATGTAATGCACAGAAACATAATATAATACCCAATTGTTTCCTGAAATATGAAATATGGGGTCACGTCAGGTAAATAATGTAAATAATGCCAAGCCTTAAAATTGTGTTCGCCTGTGAAGCTGCAAAAAACTTCAATACCCAAAATTTCCCATAGGGGACACTTTAAACGCTTTTACCGCTCATCAATCTAGTGCTAACAGTGATTGATGGCCCTGGAATTATTGCTCTCACTCCGACGTTTGCGGTGATATGTAACATGTGTAGCACAATTGTCGTTTTCGCACACAGGCGCACTGACGCATGTTTGCGTGTGTATGTGTGTGCACATGGGGGATTTTACAATTTTTTTTGCATTTTTTAAAATTTTGAAACACTTTGCTTTCTTTTACACAAGCCCCAAGCCCCAGTCGCTGCACGCCAAGACAGCGAAGCCCAGGGAAGCCGGCGGTGGCCCCAGGGGGGACAGCGCCGCACCGTACAAACGATCCGGCGGCTGTATAGACGCCAGATCACTTGTACATTAACAGCCATCGCTGGCTGTTAAAAAATGACACCAAGAACACGGCTGCTGCAGCAGCCGTAGTCTTGTTTTAACCACTTCTGCGGGCCGCTGTATATGGACGTATTGCGGCCCGGAAGTGGTTAACATGCATGTGTTTAATGCACCACGGACAACCGGGCTGGTGTAAATAGACCCAAAACACAACTTAACATTAAAAACAAAGTTGCAATAGCAGTTCCCATATTTCTTTCCTTATAGGTTTCCTTCAGACTGATGTGGGCAGTGGCACAATAGCCAGCTTAAATTATTGTTGACCAGGGAAGCCTTCTTACTGCAGTGGGCACACGCTATAGGGAATGTTAATGGTTTTACTGGTCTATTAAGACCATGTTAAAAAAACCCGTTAATATTTACAATATAGGATTTTTATCTTACCTGTAAAATCCTTTTCTTGGAGTACACCACAGAACACAGGATCTTGTAGTCTTAGACCATGGGTCATATGCTGCTTCCCTGAGGTGACAGGACAAGCTGTAGCTTCAGCTCTAATATAACTCCTCCCACTCCCAGCAAGCCTCAGTTTTGTAGTATGTAATAAGAACTGAATCATTAGAATAGACTAGTATCCTGTAATGAAACACAATCCTATTTACTTAATCATACATTACAGGACAAAGGGTCTTGTAGTCTTAGACTAGGGCTGCAGTGTTTAAGAGACAGTCAAATGGTATGGCAAGTCTGGTTCTGCTGGACAGGCATATGGGGGGTGTCCAAAGACAGAGTCTGCTTTTTCTACGCTGCCAGAATGTTGGGTTGCAACGTTCTGGAGTGGAACTGGCCAAAAGGTATGACCTCAAAGGAAGTAAACATTAGCCCCAGAACCTTTGTGCAAATGTAAACGGTTGGGTAGCTCCTGGACCGTAGGGTCCAAACATGGGAACAGAGTCAGGAGCTTGTCCAGGGTAAGGAAGACCATGAACTGCCCGTATCCAAAATGAAGTTAAGATACTCCAAAAGAGAAGTTAAATCAAGCGCTGATATCTCGAGATTCAGGATCCATCCAAAACTCTGCAGGGTCTGTGCTGTCTGTTGGACATTGGTTGACAGCCTTGATTAATTGTTCCATTTGGAAATGATTGTCCAGGTATCTCACATTTGGGATGCCTTGAGAGCCAAGAAGAGTTAGCACAGGCACTAGTATCTTGGTTTGGAGTTATTCTGATAAATGGTTTCAGAGTTTAAGTTGTTGACAGAATATTGCACAATCCAAAATGGCGGCCAAACCATGTGACCAATAGAGCTATAATGAGCACATATTGCAACAGAGCAAAGCATAAGTTCACACAGCAAGTTGTACATCTGTAGCTTTAGCGGTTCTGGAGATGCAGGTTTCTGAATAGTTCACAAAAATCGTCACACAAACCAAGATGGCTGCCACATCATGTGACCTATGACCTTTATATTATAATAAGCTCTGCAGAGCACAGGGCTGTGTCAGTGTGCAAAGTTTCATGAGTTTTTGACTTACAGAGCACTTGTTACAGGCATTTGAATAAAGCGGCGGAATAATAACAATAATAAAAATAATAATAATAATAATCTGAACAGATACAATAGGTGTCTAGCACCTAATAATAATAATAAAAATTATCAGCACAATAACAAGAGGTGTCGTTGCAACTTCGTTGCTTGGCCACCTAATAAATATTGCTGCAAGCAGCAATAAAGGTGGCCAAGCACGAGGGCCGGTCATAGCACATGAGAAGATATTGTAGTTTGAGAGAGAAAAAGCAGGCCATGATTTCATGAATTATAAAAAAAAATCTAATTCAAAATGGCCGCCGACCTTGGTGACCTCTGGATGCCATATTGTATTTGGCAGTTATGATGTTGAGATACCATATGTATCACAAGTTTAACATTCTTCACTAGTGATATAAATGCAATTGGATGCAATTGGATGCAATGTCAAAAAGTGATTGGCTTGTGGCGGCCATATTTATTTGGGGACCGGGCCTGATTTTACAACCGTGGTAGTGGAGGTCGCCGTGGATACATGTGGAAAGTTTTGAGTTATTCCGATAAACGGTTTCAGAGTTTAAGTTGTTTGCAGAATATTGCACCATCCAAAATGGCTGCCAAACCATGTGGTCACATAACTTATAATAATGACTGCATATGAGTGCTGAACTCAGCTTATCCTCACCTTGAAATTTGTATATCTGTAGCCTTAGCGGTTATGAAAAAACAGATGTTTGAAAATGGCCGCCAGAGCATGCGACCTATGACCTTTATGTTTCCAAGGTTTAAACACAGCACAGTTCTCTACCATTGGTCCAAATGTTATGAGTTTTTACATAACGGTGTGGCAATAATAAGCATTTGAAAAAAAGAGCATCAAAATTATAGAAATATTTGTCGAATTTGACACAATTCAATATGGCCGCCGAACCAATTGACTTGTAATGTTCAGTTCTGAATGCAGATCATACAATGACTATACACAGCAATTTGTAGATCTGTAGCTTTATCAGTTTCTAAAAAAATGATTTTTGAATATGGAGCTGAATATAATCACGTAAAATCACTTAAAACAAGATGGCTGCCAGGCAATGTGACCTATGACCTGTTCCTTCACTGCTACTTCGGTCACCCTCATACTCTATCCTACACTCTCTTACTCACATTTTCAATCTCTCACTCTCTACTGGAATCTTTCCCTCCCCTCTGAAGCATGCCCTGGTCACCCCAATACCCAAAAAACCCTCAATGGACCCTACCGACCTCAATAATCTCAGACCAATCTCCTTACTCCCATTCACCTCCAAACTCCTAGAACGCCTCATCTACAGCGGCCGAAGTCGCCACCTGGCTGATCACAACCTCCCTCCCAACCTGTCCATCTGTCGCCCACCTTGACTGCCTTTAGGCGATCCCTAAAGAGTCATCTCTTCAGGGAAACCTATCCCACCTCAACCTAACCGATCGACTATCACGTTCTCAAACAATTCATCCCCACGCAGCTCCCTCCACATGTATCACTTCCCCCTCCCTTTTAGATTGTAAGCCCTCAGGGGCAGGGCCCTCCTTACCATCTTGTCTTGAATTGTATTGTGATTGAAATGTCTGCCCTATATTGTAAAGCGCTGCGCAAACTGTTGGCGCTATATAAATCCTGTATAATAATAATAATCATGTGACCTATGACCTTTATATTATAATAAGCTCTGCAGAGCACAGGGCTGTACCACTGTGCAAAGTTTCATGAGGTTTTGACTTACAGAGCACTTGTTACAGGCATTTGAAAAAAGCGGCGGGATAATAATAATAATAATCTTACCAATAACAATAGGTGTCTAGCAACTTTGTTGCTTGGCCACCTAATAATCAGCACAATAACAAGAGGTGTCCTTTCAACTTCGTTGCTTGGCCACCTAATAATAATAATCTTACCGATAACAATAGGTGTCCTTGCAACGTCGTTGCTTGGCCACCTAATAATAATCAGCACAATAACAAGAGGTGTCCTTGCAACTTCGTTGCTTGGCCACCTAATAATAATATGTGTGC